AACCCTACCGTATTGCGACAAAATTGACCAGACGATATTGTCGTACATGATACTTGATTGTAATGAGCTTGAGGATGCTACACGACAGGACATGGCATCCAACAATCCCGTCAAAACTAGGCATAAACTTCTTCAGAAGGGTGGCAGATTTGAAGGTTATATCAAATCTGCCCCCAAGCATCAGTTGCCAAGGCTCCAAATGGTCCTGGGGAGATACCCGAAATCCCCAAAGGACTCTAACAGGGCTTAACTAGGTGCCTCTAAAATTCGACTGTAGGAGATTGTTTAGAAAATGCCAGTCAATGCAGGTGGTACGACTCTGGTCACGAGAATCCAATGTGAATCAGCGTTGACCCGGATTGTGCATCTGCCAGCGCTCTGCAAGGTCTCACTCTCTCACAGTTGTTGAATTTGACAAGACCCCCCAAAGAGTACTTAAGTTCCCCCCAACCAAGATGAAGGTTTTCGACACAATTAAAATCTCCTCAAAAATTCACGTGGCGCATGCCTCTACAGAGAAGACGTATAGATACTCTGATAACAACAGCTGGTGCAATTTTTGGTCATTACGACCATACAAGTTGACCAAACGAACCCTTTGATTACTACCCTGATAAGTGACTGTGAGACAATACGACGACTGGTGCCCCGAGAATAGAATAGCCACCCCAGAGCTATCACGAAGTCAATGGACCAGAGCCTAGGGTCACCAAATTTACTACAATTTACGTGCCTCCTTAAAACTGCAGGCTTGAGCCTCCTTAACAAAAAAACGTCGTAATTTTTTCAACCTCATCAACTCAAAGGTTTGGTAATGCTTGTTCTCTTTTCTGAAACCACTGACATTTATAGAAGCTATTTGAACGAAAATTATTACAACAGAAAATATAACAAGTCTTAAACATGACAGGAAAAAGAATGTAAAGTCTAAAACAAGCCCCTGGAGTTCGTTGAAACAAACGGTTATCTCTTAAGATGCTTCCAGTGCGCACTTTGCCACATTCTTTCTTCTGATTTCCCCTCCTCTTCCCTCGGGGGAAGGGGGAAACCATCCATGGCAAGCTGCTGACCATCTAGCATTTCATCCTTTCTGTCCATTCCACTCGATGTTTCACTCTTAGACTATTGTTGGGCTCGAAAACGATTGGCGAAGGGTTGAGTGTAATGACAAGTCACTTGGCAGTCTTCCCTGTAGGTTGAATGGATTTCAGTGAGGCTTTGAGCAAAGCAAGGTATGGAATACTGACTCAAAAATCAGAAAGTATGAATGATGTATTCAATGTTAACTCAAACCTTTTCCAGAAAAGTTCAAGGACAGATCACAGTGCAGTTCACATATGGGCGTGAAAAGCCTGTTGTGAAAAAGTGTAAAGCTGCTAGGTGTCCATTACTCCGGATTCTCAAGCGGCGAAGGCTGTGGATGAAATAGAGGAGGCACAAAAATACCATGCCAAAAGAGCCAAAGGGGAAGCCTATACTAACATAGAAATATTTCAACTCTGTTACTCTACACAAACTCTGTACAAACGAGGTTAATTTGATCCTGAATTTGATTCAAAATTCCATTGAGTGAACAAAAGTTACAATACAAGGGTTGAACACAACTACTCCAGGCATATTCCTAGCAAATGATTTTAAGTCCTTGATTATGAATGGCTTCACTTTCCGTTTAGTGTAACTATTCTACGGCCTACTTACTTTAAGGTATACAATCTTTATAGCCATCATGGCCCCAGCAATGCTTCAGCTTCTTGCATTTTTTACGAAGGTTGTTTACAGCCCTCGGTTCTAGGGAAAGGTGCTGGAAGAGGACACACAATGAATTGTGGCACAGGTGGCTCACATCGCACTTCCGTGGTAAATCTAAATTACCAGTATGTGCCATGTAAGCCACTCGATGCACGCTTTTCACTGAGCGTTTCTTCGAGCCTGGAGCACGGCAGAAAAGTTGACCGTATTTTGTTCTCCGGCGGCCAGACAGGCTTTTCAAAGCTCCCCTCCAGATGAGGCAGCCTTTGCTGTTTATCTTTGATCGTCGTAATATAGCGCACAGTGTTCTTTTACACCAGGTGTTGCTCTCGGTAACGAACGCCATGTTTGGACTGGTAAATCTGCATAATAAACTTGGTGACCAGGTGAAAATGGTGTAATTCTGCTGGATGCACTTCAAACCTTTGCTAGATCCGACAAAAATATGTCAAATCACCTACAATATAAACAAAATGCATTATATATGCTTTAGATCACATGCACATGTTAAACAATTGCTTTCCATGACATGCTATTTATTACAAACATGGGTGTACTTACATGCAGGTGGGTATTTATCATACACATAACAGCCATTAATCATTAAAGGTTTGGGGAATCATACTGGGTCCAGCACTAGCTTAGACTTTGGTTATGCCTTTGTGACGTCAATGTTTAGACCGAACGGCTGGAGTTGTTTCGACGTTGGTTCAAAATGGCGGAAAATAGAAAATATTTGTCTCCCCTCAAATGAGTGAATTAAACGATTCAAGATCAGCTATATGCAGAGAATTCAAAGATATACTTTCTGCCTGAACGTATGAGAAAAGAGAGAGCAGCACAAGTGCATGAGGAACGTGCCGAATATTGAATAGGAAAAATATTAATTAACAGTTTTCGTCTGCTACCTTGTGATAGCCTCTGTCAGATGACATAACCTTTTTTGGCTCTTCTTTTTGTCAGTCACTCTTAACATGTTCCTGGTTATTGAATTGACGTTACAAACATATTTCTAGTTAGGGGTGCGCCAAAACTGTCCCTGGAAATGGTTTGGTCATAGCTCTGTTGGACGTTTGGGCACCAGAAACCTTCAAAACGTAGACTGGCCTGCCTGTCCCGTGCATGGGTTTGGAAACTGAACAAAATACGGGCGTTTCACAACAGTGCGCCTCCACTAGCTTGCAACACTTCGACCAATCAGAGTGTGCGAAATCTGTCGACCCAATGCGCGTATGGAGTTCACAAACTGCGATTGGTGAACGCGTTGCAAACTCTTTGAGGTGCACTATTGTGAATCGCCCGTATTGACCCTATATATTGTGATGAATCACCAACTATACTAGATTATTGCTTTAATTTTATTACTTATTAATTATAAGACTGCGTAAAATATTTGGATCTGTTTTTATCTCGGACTACCATAAAATTTCAAAGCGTAAATGTTCATCTGCGTACGAGACTGCCGCATTGCACTGTTCTTCATGTGTTTAGATTTTCGAAAGTGATGGGTCAATTTTTGGCAGGATATTTATCTTTTGGGTCAGTGATTTTCAGTTTCTATGAACTGATATACTAACAAATATTTTCCAAAGTCCCTTTTCTTAGTTGAATTTTTTAAGAAGTAACTGAACGAAAAATCTTTGCACGTTATTTTTCCTATCCAAGGGTGCTGCAAGCGCGCCGTCAGGGGTCAACTTTAAGGCTTTTGGGCAGTGTCCTCCATCTACGCGGCGCTCTGCGATCTTTGATTTCATCTTTTTCAACTGTTAGAAGGACTGGAAGTCAGTGGCATAGCTAGGGCTATTATGTCCGGAGGCACCTGGGAATGCACACATTTTTCCAAGGTTGCGCCAAAAAGACAAGGAGCATAGGTTGTTCATGGATTTTAAATGGCGGGGGGCACCCGTGCCCCCCCCGTAGTTACGCCAATACTGGCAGTTAAAAAGTCTGAGGTAATCGAATATTATCGTGCCAAGGAAATTACCACGCCCAGCCACGCAGACACATGGAGGGGGAAACTCCAACATGTTTGGTTGCAGCTTTACAACCTCGAAAAGACTTAACAGAAACAAAAGACTTCTTAGTATAGCATCAAGACTACAGGCTGTCGCCGGAGGAAGGGGGGCGCCCCCATTGACAGTTGACAGTTTTCCCATGCAAACCATTTTTTCTTGGGGGCAGAAGACTCGTCAGTTAAGAACTGATGAACAATTCACAGTTGGAGGGGGTCAAATCTTAGTTTTTTTCCTAGCGAATTTGTAATTTCTATTCCAGTCCCTTCCCTTAAGTTTTTTAATAGCTTTCGCTTTTTTCTAAATTTGTGCAAAGAATGACCGAGGTCCAGCAATGAGCCGTTTATGAAAAATTCACGCCCGGAGGTACAGCTCCAAGCCTATTCTTTAATTGGAACTCCGCTCCTCCCAAAACTATAGTCCCGAAAACAAAGGGACTGTATGTGCCACTTCATTTTTTATACTGAATACTTTCAACTAATTCAATCCGTTGTCTAGTGTTGCAGAACTTCACGAAAAAAATGTCCACCATTTGAGTCGTTTCTCAGACTTAAACCAAGTCCCTCTCTCCACTATTATCCATTGTGCACGAGAACAATATAGGTTTCTACCAGCGTTTATCTCGGAGGAATTCACAATCCGCAGCGTGGGTTAGCTTTGTGCATCTGCAGATACATAAAAGCTTTATGGGTGCACCCCTACGAATAAATTCCCATAGACAGCAGTGATAAATCCCAATACTTCACAAACATTAAAAAAATACTTACAACTCTCACAGGTGTTAAGGCTGCACAGAAAAATGGTTTCCCACGTCTTCTCTTTCTTTTTTCTTTCAATTTGTTTGTGGGTTGACCAATGAAATTTTGAAAAAGTCTCACCCAAAGCAGACCACCCCTAAAATTAATGAAATTTCACTGTCCGGGAAAGTAGCCATTTTGGAAATGCATCCCTCTGCAAAATGGCTCAAATAGTGCCACTTTCGGACCCGATTGCATCCAAATTGCTCAGAATTGGAAGCCCTGAGGCCGGCCCAGAGGTTCAGTGTCATATTTCTTCAATTCCCCAGTTCCATGACTCTCAGGACCCTCTAATATAGAATATTTTGAGACTTAACTTTTATTAATGAGCTCGGCGGACATATTTCTGGCCTTAATATAAGGGTGCGCCCTTATTACTCCCGGCCTGTTACGATATAGCGCCACTTTGCGGCGCCTTGGTTTTATTACGCAACAACTTCTCGCGTGGGCTGGGTGCACCGCGCACGTGTTGCTTGCATCCACCACACCCTATCATTTGTATCACACCATGGTTTTTCTCTTCCACGTCTGTGGCCGTATCGACATGCAGACTTTATAGCACCACGTCGGTGGATGGGCACGCCGGAGGTTTCTTCATTATATGTACCTCACAAATAAATTTATGTTAGCTGAGGAAATAGTGCTTGATTCAAGTAATCAGAATGCTATCCATATGACTCTCGGAGTAAAGCAAATTCCAGCGGCAGCTAACTGAGGGACAAGTTCAATGCCTGTTCAAATTGAGACCACGTTTACAACCTTGGAATTACATGCTTACTGTCGAAATCCTCCTGTCACTGAAGGAAATTACGTCATTTGGAAAATACTTGCATTGGAATATCACTTGGGAGGTATTAACAGGTAAGTTTTTAAATGATTGACATTTCTGTAAAAGTTTACAAATTGTCATCGTTATATAATGATATTGTAATGTTGGATTATTCCAAAAAGTTTGCTTCGATAACGGTGGTAGTGTTAAAACTGAGTTTAAAGTGGAGGTGAATTTGCTAAAAACAAAAGGTAAGGAATAAAAAATTGTACATTAACAAACAAGTAAAAATGACAGCAAATAAGAAATAAAAAGAAAATGGAACATGTGGAAGGAGTGCATGTACATGAAATGAAAAGATTGTTCACTTTAAGGTGTCAAAATATGCCTCTTTTTGTTGTGAGTCACTAGTCCATGCAACTATATACAATGTACATGTACATGTAGCTGGAACATACAAGAGCCCAGGGTTTTTTATCAGTGCTGCAGTTGGGTTGAAATATGGGGTTAGGACAGGTCGGTGTCACACCCAATAAGTATACTGTTATCTTTACCCCTCCCCCGCCTGTTTTGAAGATGTGTAAGATCAACCCACTTCCACCATCTGTGGGGTGAGTGCAGTACCCACCTTGGCCCAACACAGGCTCACTAACCATGCCCCTTTTCCCAAACAAGCCGAAGTAGTTTACCCAGCTGAGTTGTGCTTCAAAATGATAAGATTCTAACAGAATGAAAAGACCTGAAAGTTTTATGTCATTTTGGTGCAACATAGCATTACATTTATTGAGAAAATCACCAGTTATCCAGAAGATGCAAGGACTCATCTCAGTGCAAAGTGATCAAGGCTGAAAGCCATAAGTGCAGTTGGGTGACTTGAAACTTTCTAAACTTGAAAATGTTGCAGTTCAACTCCAGATTTTGCAACTCTAGAAATCTACATTAGAAAGTGAAAATGTTTCACACAACATGAATACAACCGTGATGAGTTCTATCTACTTATTGGCATAATTATGTACGTACATGTACATGCTTTGATTATGTTTATAAGCTGCTGTGAAACTTGGCTGATCATTTGTTTCCCTAATTAAAGACAAAAGGCCTTTTTAAAAGGTTCCTTTTTGTGGTCTTACATTGAGGTACTGTAGGGAACCGTACCTGAGTAAGGGCGCCCCCATCCTTCCAATACGTGCCACAGAGGTAATTAACATAAAGTGGATACTTTTTTGATAGGCTTCCCGGGCAAGCAGTGTGAAAGTGATCTCTTTGCTTTTGGTCTCGAATGTAGAACTGTACTTTCTGCATTTTGCTTCTATTAATTTGCAGGGAGCTTGTCTTCGGCCATGCCCCTAAATGTGGGAGAGAGTCAATGCTAGGAACCCCTAATAAGTAGTTATCATTGTATAAATACTTCACACGATCTTCTGTCTGAGAAATTGTACGATTTACGGGACCCAATGTGGTAACTGCTTTCTGTTCTACAACGTGCCACAGTGTATTGGTTAGCTAGCAGTGTTAGCCTTTGACCATGCATTATACTGTTATTTACGTTGCCGTCTAGCCATTACACTACACCAACTGTTTTCATATTTAATAAATTGTAGTTCTGGATTTAAACATCATTTATTGTTTACGTCTTCTCCAAGTGCTCGTCCACTTTAATTAGGGGACCGTTCCTCCTTCCTCCCACTGTCCAACTGACGTGGGGCTGGTCGGCTACAGTACGTTGAACAGGGTTTCTGTCATCCAATTGTTTCCAAAAGTTCAAATTCATTATACTTGTTAGTTTTCATGTATTTTACGCACTTAGTGTGCTTGCCCTGGCTCACTATACTTTTGGTAGATTGGTTGCTATACATTATTTTACAATGACCACCAGAGAACAGCGTTCAATGTGTGCTTTAGTCAGTTTGAAAAAGCACTCATTCAAAAGCTTGAGGTAGGCTAGCTGACAAGACAAGCATCATGTAACTTTTTTATCAAGTCCATGCCGATCCTGGCACTCTTTTGAAGACACATCCTGTTTACCTTTATCTTCATTATGACTTACAGGTAGACTTAAAGTTTTCAGGAACCATTTATATAATTCTATCCCCACTCACTGTAATTTTTAAGGATCTTTTGTTTTGCGAAGCTTCTCTCCTTCTGCACTGTGACGCTACATTAAGACACGGAAAGAGAATGGATCTTGCCTTATAAACGTTATGCAAAATAACCGATATGAAACCAGTCCTGGCATGCATTTAATTTCCAGCTCTTATTCTAAACACTTGAAAAGGGAATTTTCCACAAAGGAATGAAAGTAACCCAACCTGACTGCTGAATAAATTGATGTTTGAACAGTGTTATACTATTTCACGTACATGCAATATTCCAGTCCTGGAATATACACAAGTGTTGTATGTGATTATGCACAGAAACAAACATTTACCGTTCATCACTGATCTGCTAAATACCTCAATTGTTCTAGTTACCAGATTGCTAGAATTTCAAGATTTCGTTTTAGCCCTTAATTGTCATGTTACAGTGAATCCCTCGTATGATGTGACCGCAAACTTTTCACTAGAAATATTTACATTTAAGGAGGAGAACTTAGACACAAATGATATAAGGCAATTATAAATTAATTTTTATACTGGGTTTTGTTCTTAGGCTTTCAAATATACACACTGTATGTATGTATATATTGTCAGTGTAGTAAGCTTTCTTGGGTAGGACTCGAGCCTGTCATCGCTAATTACTGGTGCAGACATCTTACAAGTTTAATTATTTACCATCAAACTACATAATCCCTAAGTACAACCACAAAACTTGAAAGTATTAATAGCTTCATTTTGAGATGAAAACAACATGTTTTTGGTACTAATTTTAACTGACAAACTGTTCGGTTATGCAGTAAAACTACCAAATTCTATCAGAAATTCAGAAGAAAAGACCTAAAAGTCATTGCCATTGGGAAACGCACTACTTGTTTAAAAGAAGTAAGGTTTTTATCTCGCTGCAAACTGATTCAGGATAAATGCCACTAGTAAAACTACATTAATTACATTCATACAACTTGAAGATTCCTAAACTATGAGAAATAGCAATTCTGCTGAAGTTAATCTCTAACTACAACCACAATACCTGAAAGTATTAAGGAATTTGCTTAATATTAAGATTAAAACATGTGTTTTATTAATTTTAACTGATAAACTGTTTGGATGCATGATGTCCTATACAATCTTTGGTATATTTTTGATACAGTTTCTCCACAAATCAGATTTCCTCATTTGCTATTTAATCACATTCAGGTTGGAGAATGTGAAATTAAGTTATACATATTAATTGTATTCAAACAACAAGAAAGTGTGATTTTTTGAGTTTCAAGAAATTATATAGGTACATACATTGTATATAGGTACATACAAGTATACTTCAAAGCATAATAACTTCCTAACCTCGAACATGAGTACTGAATTTCAGTGCAAGTTAGAGATCAATGGACATTAGGTATTTGTTTTGTAATGTCAAATTTAAATGACAATTCTTACCTTCTAGAGTTTGCACATGACCTTGATCAGCCTTTTCCCCACAGGGAATAAAGTGAATTGTGAAGAATGTTTTTCTTCAATACTGGACAGTACTCAGTTCAAACTCAAATTTTAGACGACATTACTGGGATTGTCCAGTCCAGTCATATCTAGGCATGGCATACCTCTGAGTAGGTACAGAAATAAGTGGTGTTTTGGAACTTAGCCTTGTCTTCGGAGCTGGTGCCATTGTTTAGCTGGCATATTTTCCCCTGATATTCTGTTTCCTTGATGTTGAAGGAGCGACATCCAGACTCCTCAATGCAGGCTGAGCCACAGGCACTGACACTGTCAGTGCTAAACTCCCGGATGATGTGGTCGAGGAGGCAGGTTGAGTTGAGAATGTGGCCGTGGTTGTTGGTAGAGAAGCAGTAGTGATAGGGTTGGGTCGGACGAGGAGTGCAGGCAGCCTGGCGCACACAGAAAGCCTCGTGAAGATCACTACAAGAACCATCATCCATACTGTCATGATGTGTTGAAGCCAATACAGCACAGTCTTGATCACCGCAACAATTATCCGGTTGTCCAGGTCCCCATTTCAGAAATAGTTCGTTTCCTCTCTGACCATCACACTCCCAAACTCCTTCAACTTGCAAGTCATTGCAAGCGATCCATGCATAAAACTCGCTGCCCCTCTGTTGTGCCACATCAATCATAAAATTCATCTCTTCAGGTGAACGTGGAGCAGCCATATTTCCGCCTTTCTCTCGGCACACAGACTTAGCATCATTCCAATTAAAGGGCAATTCAGTAAAATGATAACATGAATTATGCCACAGTTGCCACCCTGACAGGCATGAGCATTTCATGGCCGGCAAAGAGGGGCATGATCCCCACACCACTACGAACACTGAGCTGCAAACTACTATACCGTGAATTCCCAACATGACATTCACAGTAGTGGATCAGTTGGTCATCTAATGTGTTATATTTTCTGCTTATTAAACTCCTTCCTGGAACAAGTCACTCTGGTCATTTACTCCTAGCGTAGCACAAGGTACAGGCCGGCGAACCACAAGCCAAAGTACACCACTGTACTCAGGTCTAAGGACGAGTGCATGTACATGTACTTGGGTTTGTATCAAGTATTTTAATGTAGACAAGCACCAGACTACATCAAGGACTACACCAAGTGCCGAGTTGTATGCCAAGGTTAATCTAAAAATAAACAAAAGAATATTTCTTTATCGACTGAAAATATATGAATACAAATTACACAAAGTACACGTACATGATATGCGCAATGAAATAAACATCAATTTCATTAATGTGCTGATACAGCAGACTAGCATTGCAACCATAGCGTGTAACACTTTGAATCGCCCCTTTAAAACATCGTGTTGAATACGCCTACATGAATGTGCATGTGGATTTTACACATTGCTTAACTACTACAATCAAACCCGAAGTTTCGACAAAGTTTCACCAAAAAAAACCCCTAAAATTTACGACTCTGCCAGACTCTAAGAAAGTTCCACAACAGTTGTAGACAATGTACTATGCATCTATTGCTACAAAGTAAC